CTGAATGGCAGCACAGCTTTCTGGTGTGTCACCACTCTTCCCAGTTTTGTCTCATCAGCAAACTTGCTGACAGTGCACTCCGTTCCCCCATCCTGGTCACTTATGAATATATTGAATAGTACTGGTCCCAGTAATGACCACTGTGGGACTCGAAAAAACTTGTTTGGCACTTGTTGGCTTTGTAATATGAGGATCTTGAGTCACTTGCTTTTGTTTGTGCTCAGGCCTGGCAGTCAAGGTGGAACATAAACTCTCAGGAGATAAGAACATCTGCTTTTCTCATTATGAAAATAATTTTAAATGTATGTATATGTATTACATATACATGCCTCCCCCCCCTCCCCACACACATGTATGTGTTCTTTTTTAAAGTGCAAAGATAGAGGCTTTGCAGGTAAACACAAGTGGCTACGTATAGCTTTTAAATGCATGTGGTGATTGTGTAGTGAATCATACACAGCAACTTACAGCTTGCCAGTGTATTCATTTCCATACTGTGTTGCAAAAATTGAAAAAAATTCTTGTAGCGGCTAGTCCAAGTATGGAAAGCCACGCATCTTTGCAGTGAGGCATGTGGTCACCTTCGTTAGTATTATCTCTGAAAGTTACTAAATCATCTATTTGATTCAACGTTCAAATTACTGTAATATGCAGCACAATAAAGTAAATCTATAAGGCTATATTAATTTGTAGAAGATCATATCATGTGCTCTTTTTTAAATGGAAAATATTGAAAAATGAGCAAAACATGGGTTCCACTAAGCATTCTTCCAGTAACTGTTAAAAAAAAAAAAAAAAAAGGTAGGTCAGTCAAGTTATAATTCAGATGCATAAAAAGCCCTAGCATGTGGCATAGTTACCAGAGATCTCAGTAGTTCTATTTCCTACATGCTCAGTGATTTTTTTCTTTATGAAAGAAGGGAGTAACTTAGCAACACTTTGAGAACTGGAGGCATTTTTCGTTAAATGCTTCCTTTCCAACTTTTCTCACATGTGCTGAGAGCCATATTAGCAGAGCTCTATTTTCATGTTCTTTCAAGAACGTGTTTTTTAATTCAGAGACTCAGGTGGAGTCTCACAAAAACGGAAAAGGATATCTGATTGTTATCAGTCTGAGTTCAGTATTACAAACGATTAGCTGTGTATTCCTTTATAAATATGATACTGTGATATTTTTGGTATACATACAGGACATCAGATTTGAAAAGTTTTCAAATTTGACATCCTGTATGTATTGCATGTTGAGTGGAATATTACATTGTAAGATCAAAAGAGAGAAAAAGAAAATGGTAGTTTAGACTTCAGGGTGAAGAAGGTAAGAGATGTTTGTGATTAAAAGGTAATAATTAAGATACCTAATCAAATGGCAGAGCTTGAAGCACTTTTATTTCATTATAAAAAGTAATAGAAAGCAAAAGGACACTCAATAGAGTATGTATGTGGAAAAGAAAGACCATAGAAAGATTAGCTTACTTTATGCAGGATGGATTGGAGGGGAATTGAATAGCATCTGAACCTGATGCCTTCAGGACAAGACAGAAGCAGCCTGAACAGATCAGGCTATTCATTATAAACCGTAGTTTCCTTGGTTTTAACTTAGTGTTGGTGCTGTTAGACTAAGTAAGACACTGAGAATGACATGGCATTTCCTTTTCTCTCTCTGGTAGGAACAGTGTTTGTCAAGGCTTATATTTACAGTGGAGCTAAAAGGGAAAAAATTGTAATTTACTGAAGAAACGTTGTAATTTAAGAGAAAAGGCATATGAAATTGAGTGAAGTCTCTTGTGTCCAGAAGATAACACATTTTCATCTATTCAGTCCCCCTTTTGTGATGTGTAGACTTGGAGAGCTGTTGTACAGGGAAGATGGTAAAGACACAGCTTCTTTTGGGTTGTACCACTTTAAGCAGAGCCTTTCATGGTATAAGTGTGTGAACTGTGCTCCTCTTAGCCTTTGATCCTCCCATTTCTAGTGAGTCCACCTATGGATGTGTTTATGTTAAAGTGACTGGAGCAACTATAGGCATGCTATGGCAGCTGTGAACTAGTAAGTTTGAATATTACTAGTAAAAACCTGGAATTCAGTGGTGACTAACCTGTTTTTGGTAGTTATACTGATTTTACAAGTAGCAATGAATTGTCAGCTTCCAGTTGCATTGCTAGGTTGGAGTGCATGTAAACAGCTTTATTGTAGACATGCTTTTGGATGTATGTGGGTATGGTGTTAGAAAGGGGAGGAGTCCAGCTGCTCTCACCAGCTATTCTTGTCTGCATTTTTGCTACTTCTCCAGAGCCTATTTGCGTAGTTTATAGCGGAGTTGGAGAAGGGACTGCGCTTTTCTGTGTTATTTTTGCATTATATATGGGTGAATGGTAGTGTACTCTTCCCTCCTGTGGCTAATTACACTTACAGTCTTGAGTCATGCAAACCTCAAGTGTAAGTATTATGTTTAGAGGATACTGTTTATTGGTAAGTATGTGATTATCTTTAGAATGGCTATTTTGTAATGCATTTCTTTATATCTTTTTGCCCTCAGCTGCTTGAGATGTTTAGTATTTTGGAAGTGGAAAATATGCTTTTATTAATCAATGTTGTATAAGCCCATATTTGAGGATTTTTTTTGGTTTTGTTTTCTTGCAGTGGAAGCTTTAACATTCCCTCCTTCTTCAGGGAAATCTTTCATTATGGGAACAGATGAAGCCCTGGAAAATGAGCTGGGTCTTGGAGAACTGGCAGGCCTTACAGTAGCCAATGAGGCAGATTCACTGGCTTACGATGTAAGTGGTTATTAACTCAAGGACCTACTGTCTACTTGCTGAAGGCAGATGCAAGTTACATATCTGTAAACTCAGCATAAAACATTTTCCTGTTAAAATTATACTGCCAGAGAATGTAACAACTTTTTACTTGACATATATATTCTTCCCATGCACAGCAGCCTTCAAGCTCTCTGTAAGCCCCTCTCTCATTTGTCTGCCATGTCATTCATATAGTTGAAAGTAAATGTAATTAGTGGTAGTGATAGAGGTGGGTACAGATGCTGAGCAAAATTAGGAGTAGCGTGGCTGTCAGATTGGAGGAAGTCAGTGTCCCCTCTACATGGGGCTGGTGAGGCCATACCTGGACCGATGAGGAGATGTTAAGGGAGCTTAGTCTTGTTCAGTTGTTAGGAGGCTAAGGGGTGCTCAAATAGCAGCTTACGGTGGAAAGGTGCTTATAAGGATGACAGAGCCAAGCTTCTCCATAGTGCCAGGTGTTAAAACAAGAGGAAACAGTAGGAAATTATGGCTAAGGAAGTTCAGGTTGGACATTAGGGGGAAAAAGTGTTATGTGGGAGGTCGTACTGAAGCAAATTGTCCAGAGAAACTGTGGAATCCCTCTCCTGGAAGATATTCAAGACTTGGCTGGGGGCGAGTTGTGCCTTACATTACCTGGTGTGGGCAATAGTCTCATTTCAAACTGAAAGCTGGACCAGAGACTTTTTAGGAGGCTCTTGTGGCCAGCACTTCTGTGGCTACATGTGTAGCCTATGGCTTCTTTATCCTTCACTTTCTATGAAAAATCTTTCCTAAAATTGTTTCTCTGCAGTCATACACAATTTTTGTTGGTGTTTCTGATTTCTTGGGAAAAGATATTTCAGGTATTACCTTAATTGTCTGCCCCTTTGTGATCTGTCAACTTCAGATTAATCTTGCTATTGCATTCCCCAGCTTTGTCAAGATTGAAGGATTTCAGAGATGATTTTTTAGTATTGCATGTTTGCCCTTAAGTAAATCTGACTCTTAAGTAATCACCATTTGGGATTTTACTATATCAAATCTGAGACTTCAGAAATAACCTGAAGGTCCCTACTTTGAAGTTCTATCCTTGTGTGTACTTGTAAAACAATAAATTACATAGGTAATAAAAATTTACACACATTTTGAGAGTGACACTGCAAAGATGTGCTTTACTATTATAGCAAGTTTCTGAGCATGTGAGGTGTTGTGAATCCACAGGATTGCAGTGATACAGAACATCTCTGCTAAAATTCAGTATTTTAGCATTATCTCCTAATTTGGACTCAGCTGTTATTTTTTTGCTAATCTTCCCTGTCTCCAAAAAGGGGTAAGATGGTGTACAAATTCCATTTTTTTTACAGTTACACCTAAAAATTAGATGCTGAATTGTTAAATTTAGAGGACATGACAAACCTAAACCATCTGTACAAGGTCTTAATGCTTTCAGTGCTTGACCTCATTGTTCAAGTGTTCATATAAACTATTGTGTTTCTCTGTGTCTCCATATCCTGAACTAACAGCTTTTACTTAACGGAATCTGGCATTTCTTTATCCACCCCTATCCTGTTCTGTGTGTTTGAGAATATAACTTCTGTTTGTTCAGTTGTTCACATGCCGTTATGAAGTCCTGTGATCAGGAATTCATAGTCATGCTTACCTCAACTCTTACCTTTTTCTAGTGCTGACAAATTAAAAAAAAAATTGTTTACGAAGCTCCTTGCTTTTGTCACTGTACTCTTTACTAAAGCAAAATGAAAGGCTGTAATATAGTAAAATTTCAAATTTCACTGGAAGTTTAGCTTACAAATAATAGAATCTGGTTTTATTTTGGACTGCTTCATACCTTCTTTCAGCTGCCAAATGTAGGATTAGTGGAAATTTAATATGTTTTTTTTAAGTGTCTATTTTGAATCATGCAGAGAATGAAGTTGAAAGATTCGTGTGAATCAGTCTTTAGTTGTATTTGCTCTCCAGAATTGCCAACACTTTCCTGTTTTCAGTCTCTTTCATCCCATTGATGTTTTTACTGGATTTTTTTCTTCCAAGATGGCAACATTAGCCTACCTCATTTCATGTTTTAAGTTCTTTACCTGCTGCTTTGGCTATCTGTAAATTAAAGAATGGTTTTCACTTGGTAATGGAGATTATGAATTTATTACTTAAGAGAAAATTCTCCTTTTGTGAGTAAGATTTTTAGAATATCTAACAAGATGAAACTTCCCAGATTGCTAGCCAATACTCTCTTAAGTATACCTTTTATTTTTCCTTCCTTTACACATTGTCTTAACAAATGTTCTTTTTGATTGGTTCTGGCTTTTCCCCTCGTCTTCTGGGTAGATTAAAAAGCTTCATAAACTTAAAAAAGAGTGAGTACTGCACATAAGAGTATCTGAACTACAAAATCATTACATTTAATATTATGTGTTGTCTTGGAGTTTTGGAGTTTGCGGTAGGCTCTTGCTTGATTTCCTGCAACTTGAAACAAGAGATGTGTCCATAATCCTGCTTGCATATCATTGCTCTTTCTGGACTGGAGCTTTCAAGTTGTTTATGTAGACACAATATTACTATTAGTGGCAAATCCAGATCAGGTCCTAATTTTGGGGTTAAACATTCTCCCTGTCCCTTCCCCCTGCCCCAAACTGCTTTTCAAGTCTCAGATTACCTCACTGTTGTATTTCAGTGGTGAGAGAGAAAAGGAGGCTGGCTGCTGTGTTAGTAACCCAGCCTCTTGCAGCTTGTGGGGGACTGGTGGGTGAAGAGGAGTGATGGTGATGCAGGCAGGCAGTGTGTCAGGGCTAGCATCTGTTGAAAGGTCTGTCAAGCACTGGAACAGGCTGCCCAGGGAAGTGGTTGAGTCACTATTCCTGGAGGTACTTAAAAGATCTGTAGACGTGGTGCTCAGGGACATGGTTTAATCGTGGACTTAGCAGTGCTAGGTTAACAGTTGGACTTGATCTTAAGGTCTATTCCAATGTAAACGATTCTATGATTCTACATTTCCAGCTCTGCTGCTGGTCTGCTGGCTGGGACTGCCCTCCATCTACTTCCCAGTTCATAAGCTAATCATCTTGGACTCCTTTGGAAGAACATACTTGAATGAATGAGAAGCAAATGGTGGAGATTGTCCTGCCAGAACTGGCATGCGCATTAGGCCGTCTGAGGTGTCTTTGTGGCTTTTGCATATGTGACTCAGGACCTGTGCTGCTCGTATGGCAGCTGGAGGGCAGGCAGGGTTCCCTCCATCACCTAATTGGTATTAGATGGCAACCAAATTCCTCTGCAGGTATCTGTGAATACTCTTTATGTCTTGTACCCTTTTTGCTGAGACTTTCTTGGCCAATCTCCAGAAAATCTGCCAGAGCTGTTAAGTTTGCAGTCCTGCCCCATCCTTGCATCAGCACAAGCATTTGTCTGTTGCCTCATTGAGCCAACTCAGCCTGGTAAACTGGCAAAGAAACTGCCTTGTCTCCCTGAGCAAGTCGGTACATAGTTGCTAAGAAATATGATGAGACTAAACCTGCTGTTTGTTAGGACTCCTTTCTCATTGTTTAAAATCTATGGAACCTCTTAATTGAAGCATATTTTTATTAGTAAATCCAGGAGTAACAAAACCTTTTGTTCTTAAACATTCCCTCCTGGTCTGCTCCACGTTCCAGAATAAAATGTAGATTTTTTTAAGTTGTCTCTTCTTTGCAGTTAATGATACTAAATTATTTGGGATTATCACTAGCTTTCAACATAATAAAATCATCAATATCTGAGTTACAATTGTTTGTTTTCCTGGTTTTCCATAGCCACCATCAGCAGTTGTTATGGGAAGGTAAATTTAATTATGGCAGCTTTGACTGACAGAGTGATAAAAGTCTGTTCAGCATTTTACGTCGACATTTGTTCAGAGGAGCAATGTTGAAGTAACTTATTTTTTTCAAGGGCTTTCTTTCTGAATCTGCTAAGATGCATTTATTGCCAAATAATTATGTCTGTATATATGATAGCTTATTGCTTGCCAGTTATATTCTTAGTGTATTGCCAAGTCCTTTTTACCTTTTTTTTGTCTTCTCCTCCCTAGCAAGCTTTGCTTGTCTTGCATTATTACAGAGCTTGTGTTGCCTTAGGTGAGTAAGTTAGGTTTTGTTCCTTTCTGTGCTGCTAGGCACTTCTCTGTTTCTCTTAAGATCTTACTTCAGAGATGCCGTGTCAGTGGTACTTCAGATGTCTTGGGACCGCAGCTTGATAGTCAGGCCCAGTGTTAATGAATGAGCCAATAGGTATAGATCGAATTGCAAATACCAAACTGAGTTCACAACAGTATCGGTCAGAAAGGTATTTTTCAGCTTTTAAATTGTGGAACTTAACAGACATGTGGAGTACTTCAGATTTGCACAGGTGTATTACTGTGGACGTGACATTACTTGTTGCCTTTGTGGAATACATCTGCCTTCATTCTCGTTTTGAATTATCTGATCATTGTTAAATAGACTGTTGCTCAAGAGCAGGTTGTTATGAAAAGCAGATGAGGTAATTTGACATCTGAAAATGCCAAACTAAATTTCTGACTTCTTCCTTTCCTTGTGCCTTCGAGATTAATTACAAGTTTGGCATTTTTTTTATTAGATAGCAAACAATAAGGATGCATTGAGAAAGACTTGGAACCCCAAATTCACATTAAGAAGTCACTTTGATGGAATAAGAGGTCTCGCTTTTCATCCGGTTGAACCAGTCTTAATAACAGCTTCAGAGGACCATACATTAAAAATGTGGAATTTACAAAAAACAGCCCCAGCAAAAAAGTAAGATTTTTTGTTTTGTTTTGTTTCAAAAAACATTTCAATTTATGAAGATTAAAAAAAATTGTAGATGCCACTTCACTGGATGGCCCTTGGAGTTAATGGCAATTATTTCTTAAATTTAAGAGTAGGAAAACAAGCTCTTAGAGAAGGATAGAGACTTGCAAAGAGAGCTGGAAGAAAATCCATGTGTGTTTGTGAATGTGTTTTGTTTGTAAAAATGAAAACCATTCACTTTTTTATATTTTCTATGTAGATAACATGGCAAATTAATTTACTAGTGAAAATACTTGGATGTGGCCTGTTAGTGTGCTTGCATGTGTATACAAATGTATGAAAATGCGTTTTTATATGTATATATGCATATATATGTATGCACATATATGCATATACATGGATACAGCTTTAAACTTTGACTGAGATATTGCTAGGTTCCTTTGTACACTCTTTTGTGTTGTTGGACATTTGCAGAAATGAGAGCAGTTTTGTAGCAGGGCTGATACAGTAAAGTAGTACATCATACCTTTCAGGAGCACTGGGCAAATCATGTGGCCTTCCCACAGTCTGTAACAAGCACCAGATTGGTAGAGTCCAGAGCAGCAGTTTTTGAAGTCTACAGCATTGATGTAAACCAAGGTGTCATAAGCTCCTTTGCCCTGGTAGGGATTTGGAACACTTAATGATGTATTCCGTGTGATACTGATGGCCCTCCACTCCTTCCCCACCGCTGATGTACCTACCTCCTGGTTTGATTGGTGTGTGAGAGTTTGTGGACACTCTACCCTGAAGGTCTTTAAACAAAAAAAAACAAACCAAACAAAAAAAATCCTGTCATATTTTCAAAGAATGCAAAGAATTCCTAGACATATGAAAAATCATATTGGGAGAGGAAGTTGTGGGAGAAACACTTCAAAAGGCGTAGCAGTGATTTTAAGAATTTAGCAATTCTGGTACATTATTGTAAAGTGTTGTGTAAGATTGTATACATCTTAATGTTTTCTTGTACTTCATTTAGGAGTGCTTCTCTTGATGTGGAGCCAATATATACCTTCAGAGCACATAAGTGAGTATTTCCTGAGAAACACTTGTCATATTTTGAGAAATGTATGATTTTTAAACAGACACAGAATTTCTTTAAAGAGTAACCCTTGTCAACTAGTGATTTCACGTGATGCTTCTAGTCCCCATGTTATTTAAAATATCTGCATATGTTCATGTCCTTTCTGTGTAATTATCTATGTGTGAAGCTAGGTACACCACAGTTTTAAAAAGAAAAACCTACCAATTATACAGTTCAAATTCAATTAGGGGTTCTGTTTGTCAACTCTTACCTTTTGTCAGATATATGCATCTGTAGAATGAAGCTGTTTGCAGTGAGTTTAAATCTACTGAATTGATTTCATGAAAGAGCCTTAGATTTTTAAAAAAGGGAAAAAATCTGTTTATGCAAAGTAACAAAGCCTATAGTTTAAAAGTGTAACACTTTTCATATTTCATGTGCATATTGATTAAATTGTCCTGATCGTAGTTATGTTACCAAATATAGTGGAGGTTTCTTTGGGGGAAGTGTTGTAGCAGATGATCTGGCTATGCAGAATTTTTGTTACAATCTGTACAGCAAGTGATTTGTTATCTAACAGGGAAATTTGAAGATTTCATTGATGTTGTTTTTCACATAGCAAAGATGTTAATAGACAATGTTTCTTTGTGGGGGGCGTTCTTCCAGTGGACCAGTGCTCTGTGTGGTGATGAGCAGTAGTGGTGAACAGTGTTACAGTGGGGGAGCGGATGGCCTCATCTATGGCTGGAATACAACCAACCCGAACATCGACCCTTATGATTCTTACGGTACATTGCTGTCACACACACCAGTGAAATGATACGTTTAGTTACATTAATGTTATTTGGCTAAAATAGTATAATTTTTAGGTAATACTTCGTTAAACATTTTAAAGAGAAAATTGAATGTTGGCTTCAATTACTTTAAGTGTGTTTTTGTTTTAATACTGATGCTTGTTGATGAGAGGATAAAATTTCTCATTTTCTTAAAAAAGGCCTTGTTCTCATCAGTTTTGAGAAACAGCTAGGTTGAAAAAGTATGGGACTAAACCTGATGCTTGGCCAGTACAGAAAATGTATTTCAATGCTCTGTTCTTCAACAAATCTCTCTGCAGTTGAGATGAGAAGAGGTTATGTAGTCTGTGACTAAAGCTGTTAATGTTGTCTTCAAACAGCTAAAAAGGCCAAGTTTAGTAAGACTTACTAGATCTGAGTGGATGCCAGCCTTGCGTCTGTGTTTTAAAACATTTTTTCACTTCTTGTAGCTTCAGATGCAGTTGGCCTCAAAGCTGTCTTTTGGAAAAAAGGGATTGATGTGCCATTAATGGTTGTTTGAGAGGAAATTTTAAAATCAGAGTTTGTTTTGCCAACTTTGATACTGTCAACTCTGCGGAAACATTATTTTGTTCCATTAGTTGTAAACTGTGTAACTGAATGCCATGTATGCTGATGAAATTCAAGCATCTTAATACAGAAGTCTCAGTCATTCTTGTATGGATATGACCTGATTGGTCTTGGGTTTTTTTTTTTTTTTTTATGGACTAGCTTCTTAAGGTTGGTCCCTAAAGAGAGACCAAGATACAACTATTGACTTAATTCAAATTTTGTGTTTTGTGGTTTGTTGTGTTTTGTTCACAGATCCTTCTGTTCTAAGAGGTGCTTTTGTAGGCCATACAGATGCAGTGTGGAGTCTGGTTTACAGTGGAGCACACAAGCGTTTGCTGTCCTGTTCAGCAGACGGCACTATACGTCTATGGAAGGCTACAGAAATTGCTCCAGCTCTCAATATATTTAATGATAATCAAGGTACAGAAAATTGCCCTACCTTAAAGTTCATAAGCATCACTATTCAGACTGCCATAGTTTTGGCTGCGGACTAGAAATCCTTCTTGTTAATTTTGCTGGATTTTATATCCTTATGAATGTTTTTGGAAAGAGTAAATTTTGAGTCCCTTCTCCTTTGACACCAGCTGGATAGATACCTACACTCAGGGCGACAGTCTCGTACATTATACTTCATGGTTCTGTTAACATCAGCAGATCATCTGCAGCAGTTGGCTTTTAGATGTATCAGCTCCATAGTTCAGATTCGAACTGGGTTTCCATTAGGCCCTTGCTTTTGGCTTATCCAGAATAAAAAGCGCTTTCTTCCCCCAAGAGAGGTTTGGAGTAGCCAGTGCTTCCTCTCAGGCCAGTGCCATTGTACCTTCCAGATTATGTTCCTTGTGCCTCTGCCACAGAGATTCCAGTTGAATTTCTGAGTTTTGCACGTTAACTGAATAGCAACAACCTAGTCATCCTAAACAGTGCTACACAAAATTTACTCCTTTGGATTTAGTTACTGAAATGTCATGCACAAATCAAAACTCTACAGTTTAGAGCCTGATTTCTTGAAGTTGCTGTCTAAGTGCTCTAGAATCAGCCTGTTGACATTGCCAAACTCCCTTAGAGCTGATGGTCCTAAAGGCAACCATGAACTGAGACAGTTCCTTGGCTCTTCAGAACAACTTTGAGGCAAACTGAACTCACATAACTGAACAGACTTACCGAATTATGGTGTAAAGCGTGTCAGATCTGCCATTACTTGTTAAAATAGGCTGAGCAAAATGGAAATGTTTCATGTATTTTAGTTCTTGCAGAACTATGTTTCCAAAGGACTGCAGGGTTCCGTGAAAAACCTAACTGGCTTGCTGCCAGCTTGCCTACCAAAGTAGAGACTTTGAAAACTTCCTGGTAGTGGTTTTTTTTGTTTGTTTGTTTTTTTTTTGTGTTTTATTATTAAATTAAGAGGGAAGGGGGAGTAGTCTTGCCTCACAGGGTTTTTTATATTCAAACTGGAATGAAACCCAGTTGTGAAATGCAAAGATCCTCCTTTTGAAACTGATTTTTCCTATGGCTTATTGGGAACTTTGAACAAACTTTATAAAATACCTGGCAGTCATCGATGAAGTTCTTTAGATTAACCATTGTAGGCTTACCAGGAAGCTGCAAATAAGCAGGTATGGCAGTGGTAGAAAAGGTCACTTGAGAAACAATATGTGTTTTCTTCTCACACCTATCGTTTTTGGCTTTTTTGGAGTACCACCATTCCTGAGGTCGTGTATCCAAGAAGCGTGTTTCTCCCATGAATCTTAGGTTTAGAAAGAGGTGATGATACTCCTGTGTTATCTGGATCCATGGACATTATGTTGCTTAACATTCAGCATCTCAACCTCTACCTCTTCCTCCTCTTCCTCTTGGCATCTGTTGCAACTGGTGTTCTTTCTTGTAGCAGTTGGTGAACAGGACATTCAGTGAAAAAAATTTGAAGGGATATTTCCAGTACCCAAGCTCTGCTGATTTGGCCTTCTCTCCTATAGTGTTCAGATAGCTACAGTGTAAGAAGATCAGGTGTATACCATAATAGGCAGGATGGACGAAGCTTTGTAATGTGAGTGTATAATGTATTTATGTAACTTTCCATGCTGACAATGTCAGCATATAAAATTTGGAGCTGGAAAGCTTTGGGGTTTTTTTAAGCTCTGAATTTGCCCAGGTTAATAATAATGTTAATCATCTGTCATGTAAATGTCTTTACCACTTCGATTTTATGTCCTTTTACTTGAGGCAATGGTGGTTGGATTGAGGATTGCTCTTAAGTTTAAAGGAAGGAAAAGGGGGCAGGGAGTTCTTACTTTCTTAATTTCAAAGTAGATTTTTGTCCAGCTGCAGTTCCAGATACAGCATCTTAGTAAAGAATGTTATTAATACACGTATCATAAAAATAGGATTAAAATAGTGATCAGACAGGACAATCTATTTAGATTAGCATAATGTAGATTTTAAAATGTAAATTTTCCTTTCATAATCATGGCCCTTTTGATATTAAAGTGCTTACTGGTTGGATTTTTTTGTTTCTTTTTCTTTTCTTTACCCCAACTAAATATTATGAAAATGTTCTCTACGTTGTTTTCTAGAAATGGGAATTCCTTCTTCAGTGGATCTTGTGAGCAGTGACCCAAGCCTCATGGTAGCATCATTTAACAGTGGACACACTAGCCTTTTTAACATGGAGACACGGCAGCGAATTCTTACCCTGGAGTCCAGTGTGGATACTAGTAAGTATCAAAAGTAACCCAAAATCAAAGAAATTGCTTGTTTAAGCAATATCGGTACAGTTGATAGTCTTTTCAGTGTTTCCAAACAATTAGGCAGTGTAATGATAAATTATAACATGAATTATGTTACAAGCTGGGTTTTGAGATGTAACATTAAATTATTACTACTACAACAGATCTTGTGGGTATTTCAGTAGCAGAAGAGCATACTTTTGAAAGAAGTTATAAGAAACAAGCCCACACTATTTGAATTAGTCTTCAATGAACAGTAGCACAAAGAAAAACACACGTTTCTTTAATACAGTCCAGTGATCTCTGAACTTCAAGATTTCCATTCTCCAGTCCAAGATTGAAAGATAGCAGTAATATCAGGAAAATCTAAAGTTGAATTTATTAAAAATTTGTGTGTGTATGCTTTTTTTTAATTTTCCCTCAGATGTATCCATTTTCTAAATTTTATATACACTTTTGGCATATTTTCAGTTGGGCTTTAGTTGAAGTTTTCATTATAGGACAAAAGCAAAGGCCCTGTGGAAGATTATTCACAAGGTCCTGTATAATGACTTGGATCATGGCAGTGGCCAGTATCAGGAGTTTTAGAGAAAACTGTAAGGAGCCTGCTATCAGTAAATTATTTTACTCTGGCATTAGGAAAGAGACTAGAATGAGCTGAAGCATGAGGCTTCATATTCAGGCCAAAATGGTAACATGATAATATAAATG